GAAAAAAAAAAAAAAAAAAAAATAAAAAAATTAGTTTGAATTTTTAAAATTCAAACAAACAGAAATTAAGCCATGAATGGGGGAGTAGAAGTCTGGAGCCCACCACGCGGGGTGCCGGCAGTGTCTAGGAAATTTGGAGAGAGGAGAGAGAGATTAATTTCAAATCCAGAAATTTTAATTTCGGATTTGATGAAAAATGGGGGGAAGTTAATTAAAATTTTGAATTTCAAATTAACGAGGTCATTAATGCCTTAATTGGGGAATTGATGGGAGTAACACCAATTAGGAAAGATTTCAAATTTGAAATTTGAAATCCAAATTGTCATAGATTTTCCCTCTCGATTTTGCCGACTCAAATTAGGAAAGGGGGAGGGTAAAGGGGAAGGGGAGATTCACGGGTGGATGGGGAAGGTGGCCGGGAGCTTAGAGTGGGCGGATGGGGGTCGGATGGGGTGAGATCCGGCGGCAAGGGTAGAGGATGAAGACGATGAAAAAACAATTAAAAAAAAAAGATAAAAACGAAAGAAAGAAGATCGAAGATGAAAACGAAAAAGAGAAAATAAAACCGCGAGCCTTGGAATCATCCGAAGGCTGGCGGGTGATGCGTTGCCCTTCTCCAAGGGACTTCAACTCACGAACCCGGACCCATCCTACGGCTGGTGATAACTTCGATTCCTCTCATAAGAATCTCACTCTCATTCACCATCCTATTACAATAGCTAAAGGCCATATATATAGGCCACAACATGAGAAAATAAAAAATTACAAAATTGCCCCTTGGGCTACAACACTCAAATAAATTAACCTAGGGGTAATACAGGAAATAACATAAAATAGAAACTAAAATGCAGAAAATAATTCATAAATGACAACTTAAATTAGAGCCGTCGATTTACGACGCCTCCTGTGATAGATGCGCCAGATCTTCTGGCCGATGTCCGCATCACTCCACCGACAGGAAAATACTAGTATGCAAGTTGTACCATTTAGAAATATGAAAAATTTCTCTCTACTACAATTAGCCAAATATGCAATACACAAATATTATTTAATTAATATTTAATAAATAATGACTTTCTTAAAATAAGGAAAGAAACTCCAAATTCTAAATGTATAAGTCTAATTATACTTTTTTTTTCTTTCGACTTTAGTTGAATGGTGGATCCTAGTAATCGCACTCCATAGCCACATCATTTTTGCTATCAAGGTATTGAAACCTACATGCTCATCATCTAGATGTGAGTATAGTTGGAGCACTTACAATCAAGTTCACACAAAAAAGAGAAATCATCTAATGAACTTATGGATGAGCTCCTTGATGTGTATACAACAAAAGGTTGAAGGATAGAAATTTGGAAAAAAATAAAAGTTTGAAGAATGAAAAAGATCCCTACTATTTGATGATATGTTATCAAATGATGAATGATTTGTAGATAATGATAATGAGGCCGCACCATCTAATTTGCAATAAAAATATCAAGATGTTGATTTCTTAGATGGAGATAGAAATGAGACAAGTACATAGAACACAAGCTAACAATAACAAAAAAAATAAAAGGTATAGATGGATTCATGTATGATCTTTAAGGACGAGTAGATATTCTCCAGTCTCCCTTCTTCAACCTCAACTTGGAGAACGACCACACCGTCAACGACTACATTGACCGGATTCTCTTCACTTTGACAATCGCCATCGACGAGCACCAAATCTCCGGACAATGGCAAGTTACTCAACATCCACAGATCCTTCCCCTCTGGCAAGGTTTTCATTGGGCTATACTTTAGGCATCTTGTGTCTTTTGGTGGCATCTTTAGGTTTGTTGAAATTATTCTTCCGTTAAACAACCTCAAGAGTGAAAGTGAGGGGAACTCAATGTGAAATTTCTATTTGTTAAATGGTGGATTTCTATTACTTGTGCATCTAACTTTATTATAATTTTGTTATTATTTTGAATTGCTTTTTTAATCTAGTTTGTAACTGCATGCCAAAGCAAAACAACCACTTAAAATCTTAGAATCTAATCTTGTGAAATATTAATTTCAAAATTGGCTCGCTTAACAAATTTTTATTAAATTCCCTGCAATTCCTATTATGTTTCACATCACTTGGACAATGCAACACATGATTTTTGATAAGGAACATTCTGTCAAAACTTGTCAACTATCTCCTCTAACTAAATAGACTAGGGAGCACGATGACCCGGGACTACAAAACCCCATAAGAATCTTGATCGGGGTTTTCATCATTTCTCTCGTCATCTATTTTAAGCACAATGTGGGTGAATTATCAAATGCCTATACCTAAATTCGGCTATGCCTCATAAAAGTATACTTAAATTCATATCAGCAACAACAATATGATTTGGTATTCAGTGTCTATTTAAATGATTAATCTTAATCAATATTTCTCTACACTCATGATGTAGTTAAATATAGGGGATTGCGCTTATAAGAACCTAAAATAAGATCAGTAATCTTTCGCAAAAGATGAGAACAAAATCTCTGGATAGTGTCTTTACTTTAACGTCAATTGCCTTTTGAAAAATTTGACCCGGAATATTACTGCTAAAACATCCTCTAAGAAAGCACAGACAGACAGAGGTGAATTTTAAGAAGGCACAACAAGCAACAAAAACAATCAAAGCAACTTAGCACCTGATATCTTCTATACCAGTTAAATTGTGTAAAGAGATTAGCATAAATTAGGGTTTCAAAACCAGTCTAACACAATCAATCAAATGTGGACATGAGGTGCCAAACACAAGGAGGATGCATTAAGGGTTTCTTTAATTAAATGGAATGGTTCAATTAAGTTTCTCCTCTAATGAGATTTGCCCTCCTGACAACAATCTCAAAACATGTCTTACCAACATTCCCCTTTCTTTGTCATCAGTCGACAACCAAACCCCTACTTACAACCACTTATATACTAGCTTAAGCTTACCAAATTTCTTTCTAGTTGACTCATTCCGTCTGGTCCCTACAAAGTTACTCAATATTGATTCGCAAGCAAACTCATCGTTCAAGTAAGAAGACAAATATGGAGAACACCAGGACAAGACTTAAACCAACTCGATTCAAATGGTAACTTGCCAAACAACCAAACAACTCGAAAAAAGCCAAATAAAGAACAAAATCAAACAGACATACAAACGCTAACACACATAACAAACGCAGTCCTCATAGCTCAGTCTCCTCGACATGCAGACAGAGAAGTAGGATATAATATAACAATGTGCTTAGGCTTGCAAACCAAGGGTCCACCACTGCAAAAGAGTCCAACGTCCAACCAAATTCTCCAGCAAATGTCTCCAAATTTCAGCCAACAGAGCACGTTCCAAAGCTTCAAGAAGAAGGATACCAGGTCCATTGGAACTTGGCGTAGAGAAGCAAAAGGTTAGAAGCCAAACGAAATATGAGAGGAGGAAAGGGGGTGGAAAAGCTCTCAAGCTTTCCAAGAGAATCAAACCCTTAGTTTTATAGAGACTTGCTCACAATTTCAACAAACCTTTTCTATGCCAAAACAACCTTCATTTTTAATAGGCAAAGGAAGGTAGCACAAATAGCCATAACAC